TTGCCCAAGGGGTAAGCATATGGCGTGAAGATGCTCCTGACTGTTTGAGGGCGGAGGTTAGCGGAATGGGGTCGCAGACTCTGTGGTTGCATCAAATCCTTACATCAGTCTCCGTCCTTTCTCAACATCCAATGTCCTCCTTCGTCTACCTACTTATATGCCCTGATCAGTATAGAACATGTCGCCGAGAGAACCCCGAGAATCCGTCTGTGGGATCCTGAGGCACATGACGATTCGGTTCAGACAACTCCTGGCCGTCATGGAACATGTAACTGTTCATTGGTATTACATCGTGCATATCCCGGCTGCCGAATGAGGCGTGAGCCCGGTGTCGATCTACAGCACTCCCGACCCAAGATTCGCGCCAGTAGCCACCTACGTCTCGTAAAGGCTTTTCGACTTCGACCTTGTACAGGTCGCTCTCTCGGTCGACCATGGCTGCTGATGCCGATTGCGCCAACTTGGCGCCGAATCGCAACAGTTTTCTGTCGAACTCGTCCAACTCGCCGGAGAATGGAGCAATAGTTTGGAGTGCCTCGGTTTCATTCATGAAATTGCCGGCGGTAGCTGGCCTTTCTGGCGGCGGAACATCAGACTGCGCAACACCGGTGGCATATCCTTGTAACTCGAGATTGCCGTCTGCATAAAGCGAGAGTTCACCGTCACCAACCCGATCTCGTGAGTGGTGGACTCGGCAAGATGACTCTGGCTTTTCCACAAAGCCCTCCCAGAAAGGCCGAGGGTAGCAGGTAGGGTTAACAAGCTGTTCCAAGGCCGCAGATGTGCACAATGTCATTCGATTAAGATCCTGCTTATCACTGCCTGGGCGGCTCAGCGCTCGCCTGTTGTTCGAGGGCTGCACACTCGGAAGATCAGGTCTCAGATTATTGCAATCCTTTCGGCAAGGCGAGTCCTTGACCTCTCTCGACGGATGTATAGACGCCTGCAAATAACTGGTTGATGCGTTGACATTGCACACAGCTGCAATATCATGTCGAGGTCTCTCATCGCTAGCAAGGTTCGAGTCGGCTTGCGCAGCTAGCTTCTTCAAATCATGCAACGAGTAATATCTCTTTCCTCCGTGGGCAAATTCGCCGATCCCGTGCAAGAGTGCATCAGTTGTAAACCCTTCCAGAAAAGTATTGGCGGCGGAGCTCGTTGGACGAACCATTGAAGGGGCAATCAGACAGTGGGCTTCGTGAAGACGTGCACCGTTTTCTGATCTATTTGACTGTGTGACTGGGCTCAATAGCCGGTATGTCAACAGTGGTGCTCGCTTCTGCGGTGGGGAGACTGAACAAGAGACGTAGGAGTCAGTCGAATGCGGGTTTCGCAAACATTTCCCTTCACGTCTCCACCCCGTTGGTGGAGAAAAGAATTCTGATATCTCCTGGTTTGGCGATTTGCGACCTTTCTTTCTCTGATTTTGTTGTTTCACTTTTCCAAAGCGTGCATGGTCATCCCGTCTCTTTCTTTTGAGGAATGCCATTTCCGAGAAGGTCAGATCTGGCAAACCCCTCTTGCCTACGTCGGTCGAAGATTTTCCTTTGGCTAGAAAACCCGGGCCGGAATTGGAGTTGAGGGTCAATCTTTCGATGGCCACGTTTGGTGCTTGAAATTCGTGGTTCAGCAGAGTCGCCGACTTTTTCTTGATCCTTCCTTTGAGCGCCCGGTTTTTCGGAGGCTTCTTAGATGCATCCTTGTATTGATATCTGTCTGGTTTGGTTTTGTGCCTTAGCTTCCTGGCATAGTTCTCGCTCGCACCCTGGACATTGTGGTCTTCAAGCTTTTTCGTCCTGTGTTCCCCTTGCATAAACCTCGGGCCGTCAGATGGGGGGCCAAGCTCAGCCTGATTATTTGCCCTTCTCTTACAATGGGCCTTCTCCCCTGCACTTCTGTGCTGGCCGTCGTAAGGTTCTTCACCTTGGTTTGAGCGCATAGGATCTGAGGTTGGCTCTTGAGCCCGTCGGGTTTCTGTTGCGCTTGGCGTTAGCGATGTTGCCATTTAGCTCACTGCATCTAAAGCTTTCCTCTCCGCTTCTCCCTGTAACATGACGCAGTCGCGTCTGTGTCTCTCTTTTTGAAGCAAGTCGAGTCTTGCTCCACATTTGAGAGCCATTTGTGCACAAGTTCGGAGATACCAAGCGCTGGCTGTTGAAATGAAGACATCTGTTTTAAGATAACAAGAAGCCTTTACTTTTCATGGACATGACTGTATAGATAGACTGCAATTGCACAGAGACAAAAAGGGAAGCTGAACTTCAAGCATCGAAATGCGCAGAAAGTGCAACGGCAGAGGAAGCTCGCCTTCCAGGGAAAGCGCGATCATTACATCCTGATCAGAATTGTGAGGGAAGACCCCAGATGCCTTTGAAAGCGTAAAATCCCGATATCCTTTGCAAGACACCCACAAGCGAATTGTTCTGTTCCCTTCATTTTGATCGGAGACATACCGACGGTTAAGGCTGGGCGGAAAAGGAGGCCAAATGTGGATCACAGGCACTCGTAGGGCTGACTGCAGATCATTTCTGCAGGACCCCAGTCAAGCTTACATGCGATAACCTTCTCATCTTGCAGTTTTTCATGCACAAAGAAAAGTACCAGAGGACCGCTGCCACTATAGAGATTTCCGCGCAATGAGACAGACAAGGGCTGGGCGGTTGTGCGCGCCTGTGCTCGGGCAGCTCGTTCTTGGGACTTTTTGAAGCACTGTGTTCCAACCCCCTATAATAATCAGTGGCCAAAAAACGGTAAACGTGATGTCCCCCAAAATAGATTCAGGTCGGGTAATTATTTCTAGGTCATCGGAGAGCGGCACACGCAGAAGAGAAGTCGGTGAGAATGGATTCGACGTCGTTACAGTCTGTGGTCGGTTTGGGAGACATTCGAATATGGCCCAAACACAGGCGTAGAGAGCAGTGGAGTGGAGCCTAGGGGCCTTTCTTCCTAGGGAGGGATCCCAGATGCAGCTCTGGTCGATAGAGAGGTTGTTTTTAGGCAGCGGTTTAGTCCATATTCGAGGATTTCGTGCTTTTTGCTAGGCTCTGTGGTGATGGTGGAGCTGTCTTGCTGTCCGGTGTCGAGGCCTCGGAGAAGACTTGGAGCTCCGGGAAAGAGTGTCAAGAGGGTAGCCAAGCTGTTGCTCCCTTTTTGAGAGTTTTGTCTTGCTTAATCCAGGCACTCTAGTGTCGGCGTTGTGCTCATTTTTGACTTTGGCTGCAGGTTGATGAGGCGTTGCGAGGGTCGCTAGAGCATGTTGGCTGTTAGTCTCATGCGGCGGCCTTTCGTCGAGTCAAGCTCCCACCACACAGAACTCTCACCCCGCCTGGTAGCCCGGAATCAAGGCACTGGTGGCACTGATGAGGATTCAACTCCCATCCACACACAACCATCCATCCGCGCTCCGTTGGCACGCCCGCTTCTCCTCTCTCTTCGTGGCTCCCCAACCAGACCCAGATGGAAGTCCTCTATAAAGTTTGGATCCTTAGCTTCGCAAGCCTGCACCAACCTTCATCTCTTTGTCCTGAGACAGTCCAATCTACCATCTCTGGCGCATCCACTTACATTTAGACCGTTACCTCTTCCGCCAAATGCTCAGAGGCGATGACCCATCCACCCCATCCAGCAAATGGTTGTCGCACAAAGGAACCCAAAGTGTCCTCGAGTACCCTCACCTCGGCCGCCTTATCCTGAGTACCTATCCGGAGGCGGGGTATTTCGTTGCTGGAGTTTGCCAGTAGGAGTCTCTGATAAGGACATGAGGTCCAACTCCCCCAGTAAAATGCGCCCAATAATGCGAGGAGGTCCTTGGCCCCGTTGACTTGTCCCGTTGATCGAGCTCGTTCAATCCTGTTGCAGCCCTACCTTGCCCGGGTGCAATCAGCGGTCAAGGTCGTGGCGCCCGAACATCACCTGCCTCTTTCTGAGACAGGCTTCCCCCATTACACCATTGTGCTGACTGTTGCCCGCAGTCCAACGTCGCCTAACGAGTCATTTTCAGGACCTGCTTGTCTTCTGTGAAGGCCGGACATAAAAAGCTGGCGCTGACCTTGCCGTCCTGTTTCTCGGCCTCCATGACAGACCATTTTGCCTCGAGTGTTTGAAGAATCTCTTACCAAAAGGTCCGAGCAGATAGATTTTCGGCCAATAAGGCTGACATGAGTTTTGGCGAGTGATAGAGACCTGCTATATCGTAACTCTCATCAACGACTTTTCTACCGAAGAGGCTGCCGCAGTGCTGGGAGATCTCCTGTTGGGTAGGCCCACTCTTAGCCGTACTGCCAATGCCTTTTGCGTCCACCGTATCAGCAGCACCTCGACACCTCCATAGTATTGAACGATCTCTCGACCGCCCTGACATCACCCTATCACAACGATTTTGCAGTGCACCAGACGTAGGGGTTGCGAACTCCACCCTGGTTTTTGCTTGGATCCGGAAGCCTTCGTGCATCGAACTTTCAAGAAGTCATGTTCGCGTCAAAGGCGTCGGAACGCGGTTTGTATTCGTCACTGGGAATCGGTGCCAACGTCCCGTTTGCGCGGAAACAAGTTCTGGCTCCTTCGGAGAGTCGAGTGCCGCTATACTCCCCAGTTGTTGACCACATATAAGGGAAGCGGTTTGCTTTTCCCACGTGGAACCTCAGAAACCCGTTGATCACAAGTTATGGCATCTTGCCCGCTTTGCGGAACCCACTCGTCTTCCTTTGTCATCGTTTCACCCGGCGCCCAAAGGCACAAGAAATCGTGATATTGATGCTAGACTGTTGTTGATTGGGGCCGAACTGCAGACGCTCTAATTGATAGATTGCATGAACCGCTGCATATTCTCGACCAATGAAATCTTCATGACAACCCAAACCTGACTATTGTTTCTTCTTCAATATCCGTGACTTTGTGCGGTGAGTTCTGGGTATCTCAGACCGCTCCCGGGGCTTACTTTGAAGGGGGCCGAAAGTACTTTGCGACAGTACCATATCTGGCTGTGGCCAATCGACTGCACTATGGCAAAGCTCTTCATTGGGTATGTGCCCGAAGTCTTACAAATGTAGCTCTCATGGCGAAAATTGACGTGGTCTTTCCAACAGAGGTCTTGCCTGGCACACTACCGACGAAACATTATACGAAGGATTCCAGCAATTCGGCAAGGTGGAGGAGGCGGTAATGGTTGTGTCGACGACTTGTGAATAGGTGGCTGATGTCGTTCAGGTTGTCGTCAAAGACCGCGACACGAATCGCAGCAGGGGTTTTGGATTTGTGCGCTTTGCGACCAAGGCGGAAGCCGATGAGGCTCTTCAGAAAATGAACAACACCCAGTGAGGCGAAAGGGCGACATCCACAACACATCAGAAACTGACTCCTTGAACAGATTCGACGGTCGCCTGATTCGAGTAGATCATGCCCAGGACAACAGGCAGGGCGGGCCTAGTCGTGGTGGTGGTTTTGCTGGAAGAGGTGGATACACAATGCCCATGGCACCGGGTGGTTATCAACAGCCTGGGACCCAACCACGAAACCCCAACCCGCAGGGCTTCGGCCGTGGTGCAGCGTATCCTGCTCAGTATGGGCAGTATAATCCGCAATACCAACAACCAGGAAGCCCGTATGGTGGAGGCCAGCAGCAAGGAGGCAACAACCCCTACGGCCAGCAGGGGCCACATCGACAATAGACCAAGAAGTTCAGGGATAATGACTTAATTGCGCGAAGATACCCACCGAGTCCGTCCACTGCTTGAACCGAGCTGTCAGTCGAAGACGGCACCGTTGACTTCCAATCGAAGCGTTGAGACCGAACCAGCAGAGTTATCCAAGAATGTCCATACCACAAGCAATCATACTTCCTTCTCTATCTCCTCTTGCTCCTCAGTACTGTTGACTTTTCGCAAGGTATTGCCAAGCGCAACTTGGCGGCGCGGGACTCTAAAAGGTGGAATAAGGGCTCGAACTCGTCGGGCAAGGTCTGTGATATGTTCATCGTGGCTGTCTGGACTCAGTTCCTTCAGGGCCTGTTCGAGATGGAGAAGATATTCTCTGTTCTCCCCACTTGGACCAATACTGGTGTTGATCGTTTCTGCAATTTCATGCGGCGGCAAAGCTCCCAAAAATTGAGGATTGTCAGGCATACCAATGTAGACCAGGCAATGAAGATCTGCAAGCGAAGTGTCCGCTGGGTGAAAGGGAGTGTACTGGATACTGTATCCATTTCTGCTCAGGGGTCAACCACAGTCACAGAGTGGCCAGGGCGGCATACATTTCGCGAATATCCAGGTACTCCTGGACCTCTTTCACTTTCGAGGGTATGATATGATAGGCGACACCCCACACGACGTCTCCTTCCGTATGACGTTGCTGATTGGTGTCAGTCAAACACAATGGGAGCATGAACACGAGGATTGAGGCGCATGTCGTACAGGGTCGTCGAGCGTTTCCCAAAAGGATCTTTCAATCAACGTGACCACTCTTCCCGGAGCGCCAGGGGTCCCACGGTGATCCTCGCTGGTCAGTCTGTTCAGCATTGCGAGCCGACTGGCCTGCACGAGACACTTACCTTGCCTAGACGACGGACTTCGTTAGCAAATGGTTGACTTGTCCTAGGCCATCGCCATGCCTCCTACCTGCCAGAAACGACGAACGTAACCTTTGATATACCCTGGAATCCGCTGGTCTATTTCCCATGAGCTCTGATGTTCGCTGACGCCGAGACGAGCTCTTGATTCCTACCGAAATGTGGAGGAGGTTTCCAGATTAGGCTCCTGTCGACTCAGGGCATTGAATCAGTGGTTTGGACGATGATTATGCAGCTGGTTAGGGTCCAACTCACCCATAGCCAAAGAGCCAGAACTCCTGCGTACGAAGTGGACTCATGCCCGGAGGGTGACGTATGCGGCTTGGGAGATGAGATTGAATCGGGCGTCGAAGTAGGATATATCGCTGAGGCGTCGGTCGGAAGGATATGAAAATGTTGAATCCAGGCGTAGTGAAAGCACGGTGATTCCTGGTATCAAAGTCAATAGGAGTAGTATGTAAGCAGAGCAGAAAGGAGCTGCATAGATATATCGACTAACTCGACTAAGGAGAAGGCCGTCTGGAGATGGAAAAGAGAGCCATGGATGATGAATTCATTTGCATCACTGGTTGCTGCCGGGAGGATCACAGGCGGCTTCCGCTGCCTAACGAGGCCGCCCTAGTGGGACAGGCGAAGAGGAAGACGCAGAGCCACGCGCCCCCAGGGAGGTTCCGGCGACCTGCGCGTCCACTAATTAGTTAAGCAGCCTAACCAACCCCTAATTCGGCCCTATGGATGCCTACAAAAGAACAGCCTGGAGGGGCTACTAGACTTCACCTGGCTAAACTTCAGGCCATCAACTCGAGCTGCTAGGGTGGCCACGGATCTCTCCCGCCGCCTGAAGCCAGCTGGCAGATCTCATGCACACTAATTCGAGCTTGCTGAGTCGAGTCTGAGCAGAAGCAATCCAAGCTTACTATGTATGTCCTGCTTTGTGGTCTCAACACGGTGACTGAGCTCGGACAAAGAAGACGGCAAAGACGCCGACTGACTAGGGTCGGTTTTCAATTCCGAGGGGAAACGGAAAGACCAGGCACCATCACACAAGATAGCGGGAGAGCGGAGCGACGCCTATCGCAATTTGAAGATTGATGTTAGTCATAAGTTAGTCATTGGGGTTGATGGGATGGCAAAAGAGCCCTTCGTATCTTCCAGGGATAGATGTACTGTGGAAAGAGATATTACCATGAGAAGTGGGATTCCCCGATCCTTCGTTGGAGGTCGAGTCTGGACGAAACCCATATTTACAGCCTCACCAGCCTTGCGATAAGCCGCCCAGCCCAATTTTACTCGCAGGCTGCCGAGGCGAGGCTACTACCACAGAAGGTAGGTGTGCTACCTCGTACTCGGTACCTACCAAGTAGTACTATGAGAGGCTTGGGGAACTGCGCCCAGAAGCCCGCCCCCCCCCAAAAGCCATCGTTTGCCTGCGCCGACCTTCCCACCACAGTTTCCCACCTGAGCCTCCGGGAACCGTCATCATGCAAACAATCACTTTACCAAGCATCAGCTCTGCTATCAGCCTCATCATGACCAAAAATGGATCACTGTCTTTCTCAAATAATGCGTGAACTTCGCTCTCTTCTACATTAATCAGAAGTTTTTATTCTGTCGGTCCACATCCCAAATGGCATACAACAAAGCCTTCAATCCCGATGCCTTGCCTGCGTACGGACGCACAACCCCTCCCCCGCCTGGCTTTCGGATGGAAAAAAGAGCGCACTCGCTGACTACTTGTACATGACAGTCATGTAGAGCCCGAGCAGGCTGCGCAAGCTCTCAGTCAACTTGAAGCAAACCGCAAACCCTTCCGTCCTAATCCAAATCAACCACCACCTTTGAATCCCATCTCTCAGCAACCTGCGTCAGCTGGTGGCCGTCGTCCGTCCCCTGCGGGAATCCCCCCAAATTCCTATCGACCGCCTCCTGTCCAGACAAACCCACAGCAACAACGCCCTATACAAAATCAATCTTATGGAGACAACCAGTATTCCCGCTTACAATCGCCCCCTCCAATGAGCTACGGCTATGGGATACGACCCCAGGTCGATCCTGCCAATGTGCGACATCAATATCCGGCAAGGACGCCAGCGCCCCAAGATCCTGACACGGTTGATTTGCAGCCTCTTTTCCGTGCTGCAAATGCATCGGGTACTGGTTCACTCACGACAACAGAGCTGGGATCGGCCTTGGTGAATGCCGACTTCACCCCTTTTGATGGTCGAACCATCACTTCGTTGATGCGCATGTTCACCAACTCCCCTCCAAACCAGCCTCAAGGGCCAACCATCACCTACCAAGAATTTGAAAATCTTTGGCGCTTCCTCGCCGCTTGGCGCACCCTGTTCGAGAAATTCGATGAGGATAGGAGCGGCCGGGTATCGTTGGCAGAGTTCTCCAAGGCTTTGACGGCATTCGGCTATCGATTGTCTCCGCCTTTCGTCAACATTTTGTACAACACGTTCAACGATCGAAGTCCCATCCAGAACCAAGGCATGAGCTTTGATCTATTTGTGCAATCTTGCATCAGTCTGAAAAGGATGACAGACGTCTTTAAGAAATACGACGACGACCGAGACGGCTATGTCACCATGAGCTTTGAGGAATTTTTAACGGAGATTCTGCGATTACGGGACTAATCTGAGGGCGCGTCGAGTCTTAATCTGCATATTGATCATCTTGGGTCTCAAGGGTGAGAACTCGCATTGGATAGAGTGTCTCTGAATGCTTTGAAATTTGTTTGACCTGGGCGACTTGATGGACTCATAGTGGAGTCTGCCTCTTCGAATGCAAGCCACCGCAGGTGGCGTCCACTGTCTGTCTTTGTTCCTCTCCACAAAGGGACTATTGCACGATCCAGACTTTGCTCTCAGAACATTGGGTCATGTAGCGAATGCACATTACCCCAGGAAATTTCCTAAACAAGGCTAGGAGCGAGACACGATGGAAGGAAACGAGCTTCTGTCCAACGAATATTCGTATGTGTACCAGTAGAGTCGCGACGTGTGGCCGGCAAAAATGGCCGGCAAGGATCGGCGAAGCGACCCCGTGCATCATCATGAGACAAGCCCACCCTTGAAAACATGGGTTGACTGCCACCTCGCGAGACAAGGGCTCCGATCACAACTTCTGGCTGCCTGGCTCGCTGGTTAAAATCTTGAGATCTGGCGGTCAAAGTGCGACTTCCACCTGGCTTGAACCTAAACAGCTCTGCTTCGCCACGTGGATTTCTGCAGCGAAGCCTTCGAACATTCTTTGCGGAAGGGCATCTGACAATTCATCTTCTCGGATTTCCTCCCTCTTGCTGATCCGCTCTTATCGAAATGTCGCAGAAACTGGAACGACAGAGGGACTTGGCTGCGCAGCTCCTCGACATCAGGCAAATTCTAAGTATGGGCTCGGTGCTCAGCCCACCAGCCTTTAAGAGGGAAGCGGGAAGTTTGGAGTAGGGATAGTCTATGGACTGCCCCGACCTTGCCGATTTTCCACATTAACCGCCGCCGATCGCAATTGACAAAAGAGGTCAATGTGAGACAGAAGCTTGGTACCGAGTGACTGGTGTGATGAGCGACAAGCGGGACATTTGCAGAGACTCAGCAATCCAAAGCCACCACATTTGGTTGCTCCCTTGGACGGCATCGCGTGTTCGGCCGACTCGATAAGTCCCTCCGCTCCCAAGCGATCTGTACCCCCGTTAGATATCGTCGATGGAGAAGGGCTGTGGGCTGTCAATGGTGGGCGCTAGAACATTTGCTCCTGCAGACACCAGGCACATGCGGCACTTGCGCTGGATACCTAGAACTGGCCTAGTGAGACGCAGGCCGTTTGGGCAAAACGGAGACTTCCCACGGTTGCAGAAAGAGCCCAGGTCAAACTCCCTGGGGAGGAGACAAGGATGCGGGCTCAGCAGAAACCTCTAGACTTCCCCTGAGCGTCGATCGTCAACGTGGGTGTAGAGTAATACAATAGAAGTGAGTGCCTCGAGGGCGACATAGATGATTGGAGGCTTCTGAGACACACCAGCAGGCACATTCTTAATGACAATCATCGTTGAGAGATCCCTTCGGCTCGAGCTGTGGGCGACCATAACCCTGAGGGGGGTTG